AACCCACAGTAGTATTCGAGAGTCAAAGTTTTGTTCCACTTTTAACCATAAACCAACTGTTATTCAACCCTTGAGTCTTCGTTTTGAGAACCTCCGCCACTCCCTTAACCTACCACGGAGGATGTTCATTTTCTAGAAAGTGCATGTCATACCGCCCCATGGGATATTAAACCTATAGCTTCTGATTGGTATTTTACAAGATTTATTAAACATAACGTCTCTCCACTTATTCTACAAGAGGAATTCCTAGCTCTGCAAGAAAAAATACAGACATTACTGCCAGTTTTACACTGACGGTGCCAAGTCCTCAATTCATGTCGGCTTCGCTGTTTATTCAAATTCGTTTACTCATGTCACTCGCCTCAACAATGTTGCCAGCATTTTTACTGCGGAACTATATGGTGTTCTAACAGCCCTTGACTATATAATCAGGAGCAAAGTGATGAAAGCCATTCTTTTTGTAGACTCTCAAAGTGTTCTTAGTGCAGTATGTTCTGTTATATCAACTACGAATAAGTTGACTCAACTCGTACAGGCCAAAGTTCAACAGGGACTCGCTGGTGGGAATGACATCATGTTTTGGTGGATCCCGAGCCATGTGGGCATTGCAGGCAACGAAGCTGCAGATAGACTAGCCGCCTCCTCACGGAACCTTTTACCATCGAATATCCGGATACCTTACCAAGACCTTAAAATGTCTGTGAAATTTTCACTTTCACAGTTATGGCAATCTGAATGGAAGTTAGCCGATAATAATAAGCTTCATGCCATTAAACCAGAACTTGGCACATGGGAAACCTCCTATAATAAAAATCGTTTCCACCAAGTTCTCCTGTGCCACTTGAGAATTGGCCACTCGGTCATTACTCATCAATACCTGCTGATAGGTGAGGAACCGCCATTATCCAAATACTGTGGAAAAACTTTATCTGTTCTACAAGTTCTCTTTCTTTGCCGTGGCCTTCTACAACAATACAAGACATTCTTTCTGAGTTTTTCTCAATAACAGCATCCCGTTTCACCCTGTCTTGGTTCTAGGAGAACAGCCTCTCAAATCATTTGAACGTCTTGTAGCTTTTCTCAAAACTACAGATATTTTACACAAACTATAGCCAGCTTCTATTCTAGTCATAGTGTACTTTTAAGAATGTATTTTTAGCTTACCTAGTTTGGCGCAGTATGGCCGTCGGAGCTCTTGCGCCATCAAACCCGCAAACAACAAACATAATAAATTTTCGGAAAAAAATAAAACACTCTAAACCAATCGGGGTGTCAGTGTCGTTATAATGTTTCTGCAAATAGTAATCGACGTTTTGGAGACCCTCGACTTTGCTGTAATGCATATTTCCTAGCGTTATACAGGCTTCCAAATAATTTTCTTTTTACATATCGTAGATTATTAGTTGATAGTAGATTCCAGGCAATAGAAATGAGACTTGGGAATGGAAACAGAATATCTAGGCAATGTAAACAGTCTACCTTAGAAAATACAGTAGACAAGTACCGGATAGCACACTCCAGGCAATAAAAAAAGACTTAGCTAACAGGTTGTAGTCATAAAAGCGGTCACAGAAAATAATTACAAGTTATATAAGATTAAAACTGCGCTTGTCTCGCTCGATAAAGTCATTGAATAACAACAACAGAGTAATCTTGAAGACACAGGCAGGTGAAACAACGTGATTTTAGTAGGTATAGCAGAAACAATGAGACAACCGCAGATTTGCAACCGAAAGAATTAGAAAATATAACAAAAAACTGTGTAGCCGTGATGTCTGTTGAAATGATCCACCGTCCTGGTTCCAAAGTGCCCGACAAAGTCAGACCTGTCATTGTCAGGTTATATAAGTACAATGAAACAAACATAGTGTTCCAGAATTATAAAAAAATGTAAGAAAAAATACCCGAGTAAACGTATTTTGATGATTGTGCAAAATAAACTTCGTCGAAGGTACGACAATTTTTGCAGTCGGCACAGCACGAAAAGCAGACTGGAGCAGCGGGCGACTTGTGCATGATACACTTTTCCTAAACGATGTCGCTTATTTATGGGGTTCTGCAACGAACACTCTAAAGCAACCAACCAGACGCGTCGTACAAACAGTTTCTCGGCATAAATGAAGAAAAAAAATGCATAAACGCAATTACAACAAACGCAAAAAAAAAAAAATTTGCAAAGAGAGCACAGGAATTGGGGTACGTGCTCATTCAGCCTGATTAACACATGATTTTTATAACTGAAACCCAAATTCATGGTAATATTGCTGACTGAGAAATATTTCCAACGAATTATGCTGTGTTAAGAAAGGACAAAGGGTGATGGGGAGTAGCGCTGTTGATAAACGATCGCTTAAATACGAGGAGCTGCCTCGCAGAGACGATCATGAAAGCATATGGTGCGAGCTGTTTTGAGATGAATTCGTGTTTCTAATTGGTGGTGTATAGAGCACCGAGAGTTGGAATTAATTTTTTCGAAACACTAGGTGACTTCTTAGCAACTTCTATGAAAAACAAGACTAAAAGTGTTGCCGCCCGCTAAAAGTTAGCGGTCGGCTTCATCCTTCCATAACTTCTCGAACATATTCTCTACTCTAGCATAATGTATCATTTAGATTGCAATAATTCCTTTTACCAACACCAACATTGTTTTCGTCGAGGCTATTCATGTGAGACACAGCTGTTCGAAGTTACGCGTGACATCCATCTCCATTTTTTATCTCGCAATTAAACTGACGGAGAAAATTTAGACTCGTTAGCGGCATTTGACTGAGTTCCACATCCCCGTTTAATTTCAAAATTTTCTCGCCTTCATTAATATTCCCATGTTTTATTGTGGATATGCAGTTTCCTTTTTTCGCAAATACACGACAGTCTTAAATGGACATGAATGTAGTTTTCCTGATGTCACCTCCAGTTTCCTCAGAGAACAGTTCTTGGTCCTCTTCTTTTGTTAATATTTATTAATCAGCTACATAATAGTGTTTCGTGTCAAACACATATATTTGCTGACGACTAGGCGCCATATTACATAATCGCTTCACCCAATGACCGAACTCTCTTTAAAACAGTCTAGTACGAGTATCACAATGGTGAAACAACTGGCTGATATTAAATAAATCCAAGTTCCAACGAACCCGCTTTTCTCGAAACAGAGACCCTTCTTCCTTTCACTTCAAGTTAGATGACAGGAATATGGAGAAAGTCGCAGAGTACAAAAATGTCCGTGCAGTTCTAACTTGTGATCTGGCATGTGTTAACCACAGTCACACCATTTCTTCGGACGCAGCAAGGTCCCTTGGCTAAATATGGCGTGGCCTGAGTGCTGCTCCTCCAAAACTTGGAGAGCTTGCCTACAAAACTTTTATTCAACGAAAATTACAACACGCTACCGCAATCTGCAATCCTCACCAAAATTACTGAACATTCAACTTGAAGCCGCTCAAAGCCGACAGGCCCGCTAAAGTTCCTCTGACCATGTGTTTACAGCTAATGTCTCTTCAATGAAAATAAGCATTACTTTCTCTGCTGCTTGGATGGAACAGCGCGGGTGAACAGTCACACTCACAGGCACACAAGAAAAGGAAACAGGCTCGCTGCGCTGACTTACAACTCAGTCCTATATTTCTTCTTCCTTAAATCTTCAACTTCGCCTTCGCCGTTAATGAGAGCAATTTAAATTTTTACACACCAGAGACCAAATAGCCAATAGACATTAATAATTTAGTAATTAAATAAATAAAATAAACTAAAGAAATAATAGTAAAAAACCTAAAATTAAATTAAAAATTAAATAAAAATAAATTTAAATTAACATTTTTTTTATGAAAACTATTCACCATATTTCTCATGGTCTTAAAAAGATAGGCAACCGCGTAAACGTTAACGTAGTATTTTCTGCTCCATGCAAGCTTTCTTGTTTACGTAAAAAAAGACAACTCATCTTCCGATGGAATCTTAGGTTCTACCAAAAAGCACCACTCCCGTTTTGTTCTATGCTCTGAAAGGGTGGTTTATGCAATTCCCCTCTCATTCAAAAAATAGTATATCGGGCAGACCGGGAGGTGTCTCAATGACCGGTTACGAGAGCATCATTATATCATAAACAGAGTAACATCAGGGAATCTAGGAATCCATTGACGGGATTGCGGGTGTTCAGCGGACCTGAGTAACTGCACTGTTATTGCCAGAAGTGGTAATCAGCTGACACTAGAGATCATCGAAGCTTAAAAAATATCCATGTTGGAAAAAACAATGTGTTAGTATATCTTCCTTAGCTTTATCAAAGAAAGAGTTGGATTATCGAGAGATATCATCAAAGCACCAATAGTGATAAGTCATTGTTGGCTTAATTTTTATTTAAAAAGATTATTTTAAATTTTGTTAATTTAATTTTGAATTTAATTTTATTTTTTTAATATTATTTTGTTAGTTGTCTTATATTTATTTAATTATTAGTTATTTATTAATGGTTATTGGTTATTTGATCTCTGGTGTGTAAAAATTAAATTGTACTCATTGACGGCGAAGGCGAAGAAGTTGAAGATTTAAGGAAGAAGAAATATAGGACTGAGTTGTAAATCAGCGCTGCGAGCCTGTTTCCTTGTTGTGTGCCTGTGAGTGGGACTGTTCATCCGCGTAGTTCAATCCAAGCATAAATTGCCAACTAGCTCAAGCATTCACATTATCAAGCTTCATTTTTCTGCTGTTGAAGCTCACCGCTAGGTAGCACGCCTTGCCTGCTTAATAAAAGTTATCAGTCATCTCTTCGTTAGAATTCCTTTCCTGCTTAATTCCACATGGACATCTCCTCGCTTCAAAGCTCCTACTATTTTCAACGCAAATCTGGTTCGACTAACGCCTTTAACAAATCATTCCTACCACCAACAATTGTGGACTGGAACGGCCTTCCAGAATCTCTCGTGTTAATCATTGTCCAATGGTTTTCAAAGCTCCATCATCTTGCATGTTTGGTCTACTGACTCGCCTTCCTGGGCTGCTACTCTTCAGCTTTTCTTCAGCTTCCGTGTGTCCAGTCTCTGAAGTGTTGCGCGCGAAGCAGTCGCTGTACTCATCAATGAGGCGTTCGAGTACCTCTCGCTGCTCCAGAGTGGCAGAGGGCCCCGTTTCGATCTCCTCGCTTGGCACAGGGCGTCGTTCAGCCGTGTTGATGCTCAGCTCTTTCCTCGGAGAGGGCTCGTCGTCTGGATAGCTGACCACCGCTCGTGCTATCCGCTCGTTCTCTTCGATGTCGAGATTGTGATCCGACACGTTCATGATTGGCAGGCGAGTTTCGTTGTTCTCATTGACGTTCAAGACACAGCGTGGTATGCAGTGTTCGCGTCCTTCTTGGCCCCTAAAGTGTGCATAGACGAACACATCCGTGTGTGGTGCGCTGCCCATTACGTGGTTTGACGAATCCCACATACTTCAAGGGAACTACCGTCGATTCCTTTGCCCAAAGGCAGACAGAACGCCGCGGCAGATCAGGGATCTCAATAGAGCGCGATGTGTCGTCGTTCTCGTGAACGTTCTCGCGCTCCTCGAAAATCCTCACCGTGTTTCGACGTCTGACAACCGTTACGTGAGGTTGCTCCGTGAAAGGCTGTCCCACGAGAAGGGGTATAGACTGCGAGCTGCTGGGCACCACAAACAGCTGAACGTCCGCCGTCGCTTGATCGATCTCGATGGTAGCACTTGTCTCGCCGCACGGTGTAAAGCGTCCAGAATCCCTACCCTCAGATGGTAAACGGCACTGACGGCTCTGAGTAGGATATCTTTAGGCGGTCCGCATCTTCCTGCCGCAGAGTAACGCACTGGCTACCCAGGTCGACATATGCCCGCACTTCATGGGCATTTAGTTTCGCAGGCATAAAGTACTTTTCATTGGCAGCGTCGGCAGCGCGGAAGTTTGCATCGACCACATTCTGGGCGACCCGCGGCCCACTTTCTCGCTTTTCTCGACAGTCCTTTGCGTCATGACCCACGCGCTTGCAAACGCCGCACCGCGCCTTCCGCTGGGGCGAAAGGCAGTTCAAGGACACGTGACCATAGTCGTCGCAGTTAAAACAGAGCGTTTCTCCCCTTTCGTTGAAGAGCGGCTTCTTCCTCGGTCTGAGCGGAGGAAGATCCACCCTCTCAAGGCGCGCCTCGGACTTCGACCCCGTCGCTCGGTCGGCTCCGTTGTCGAAGCGGCGCCTCGAAGTCAAGGGCGAACTTGATGCCCCCTTCAACACCGGGGAACCGAGGACGCCATGTTGCCCAATCGCTCTTCAAGGCGTTTTAAGCAGTGAAGTAGCTCTTCTGGGGATTCGTACGTGCGTACGCTGACTGCCCTGATAGCGCATTCGTCGTTTAGTCCGCTTATGATGTACTCGATGCACGCCTCGTCACTAAGGTTGCACCGACGAGCCTTTGAGAGCTTGTCGTAGTAGTACGATTCAATCGGCTCACCTCGCTTGCGACGCCGATCCTCCATGTCGCGATGCAGCCGTTGCACTGATGTTGCCGACGCGAACGCGCGTCTGAGTTCTTCCTTCCATTCCGTCCACGTTTTATCTACCGACGACAGGGAATCGTACCAGCTCCTCGCCGGGCCCTCAAGCTTCGTAAGTGCGTTGCAGGACGTCATCCTGTCATTCTAATGATAGATGTCGGCAAGGTCGTCGATTCGTTGGATCCACCTGTCAACCGTCCGGCAGCTTAATAACACCGGGCTGAATGACGGTACCAGCCGGGCCGTCTCCCCCATGCCGGAGACAGGCGAAGCAACCGCTTGAGTCTGGAGAATCGCCATGCCGCTGACCACTTCTCTCACCGCCGTCTGGACTGCGGCCTGGACAATCGCCGTTACGTGCAGCGCTGAATCAGGTCCCGTTGCAGACGGAGTCGGAAGTTCGTTGCCGGTCTTCTCCCCTTGGTCCTGGTTCCCGCCATCTTCTTCGTTGTTCGGGACGGTTGAAGATGCTGCGTTGCGAGTTACAGGACACATCGTTGGGGTGCGCAGGCGATCGTTTTACGTTCGGGGCTTTCGTAGTTGATCCCACTTCTGAGTTGTTAACTCCGTAGACGTTTTGGGTAAAAAAACTGAGTTTATTGTTAATATAACGGCATGTTGCACGTCCGACCTTCGCCGCTGCCCCGAGCGAGTCTCTTTTTCTCTCCCGCTGGGTTTGCGCAACGAGCGCGCTTTCGTGAATCCCGGCACAAGTACCGCCATCTCATGTCTAAGTGGCGAACCGCGGGTTAATTAGTTATCAAAACAGTGATAAACACGTTAAACTCCACCGTAACTCAAGCACGTTTGATCGCTGCGTTGTTAGTGACTTTTATGCTTTGCTTCTACGTTTCGGACGCATCGGTCAAGTGCACAATCTTGAATATAAACTAAGGCACGTGAAATAATGGTTTCACAAATTTAGACATTTCTTAGATAAACTAAAAATTGATAAAAACAAGGTACCAATAATTTTGGTCACTTTCAGCAGCTCACACTAATAACCAACATTTTATGTTTTTTGTATATTTCAGTCTTTGATATAGTCGGGTATATTCTGAAGATCTTATGCTACCGAGATCTCACCGCCTGAAGTCAGACCGCCAAACAGGTCGTTGCTGGTCCCATGCAATGCACAAGGTGCACTTGTCGGTGAATACGACGATCTTTCAATGATCCAGTGTCAATGATTAATTCTTCCGAGCAAACTCAAGACGCCGTTGATTGTGTCTAAATGTCAAGAATGGTTTCTGGCGTGCCACGCGAAAACGAAGTCCAGCTTGTTGAAGTCTTCTTTTTATGGTCTCTTCGCTCACCCGAAGTCCGAGCTCCTGCTGTCTCTCCTTAATTCTAAGTGTCGGCTTGTCAACCACCGCTGCAATCATCCACAGATCCTCACTCGGAGTTGTAGATGATGGCCGACGTGCGGGTGGTGTATCGTGAATGCGGCCTTTATCGCCGAAAAAACGGACAATCCGAGTGACGGTTTTCACATCGCAACCAACTCTCCAAGCAATGTCTTGCCTGCTTTGTCCAATTTCAGCAAGCGCGATTATTTGATGTCTTGTCTCCTGCGGAACTCGTGACATAGCACTGGAACTTTGTGGCAGCCGGAATAATGCTTTCACCTTCTATACCGCAACACACGTCTAAAATAGGCTTCTCTCATGAAACGCGAATCATGAGGAACCAATATGGTTGCACCTCTTATTTAAATTCATTGTGATAATCAGAGCCATCCGTACTCATCTGTGACAATGGCGCCAAAATAGCATGACAATATTCTGATGCGCAGAGGTGTGTAAAGTCCACCCGAAGTGTCAAATGGTATTTTGTGATTATAACAAAAAATTCAAGAAACCAAATGTTTGTTCCTATAAGGGACAAGTTGCATGTTCTAAAAAAAAATGAAAACATTTGATGCCGTGTGCACGATAACATTTTTTTATGCACATCGTGGTTACCAAATTATTTCTTATCAAGCCCAATTATTGCCGCTTTCCCCCTCTTCCCTATCAATCAGGTTGATAGGACATTCTCTACACGATGACTTTGCAGATGGCTTCCTGATCGGCCACCTATCGCTGATGAGGGATCATTGTTGTTATGCCTGATATCATATGAAACATAGGGTTTTTTACATTTGTGAGCATCGATCGAACACTCTTGCTTTACCTACACCTAAAGCAAGCTCCAGTTTATGAGCAGTTGTAACATCATCTCCGAACATTGGAGCCAACACCCAAAGGCGGCAATTCTAAGCGGCCATGCTTTTGTGCTTCACACTTCTAAAGGCTGGAATCCCGATAAAAGCTATATGCGTCCACCCTCTGATAACAGAACCGTTTGGCCCCAATAGCCCGGCTCCAAAAATGCGGCAACGCTCGACGCGCCCCGTGCCTGATTGGAAAGCTCATATGGCCGGCGACTGTAGATTCAAAGCTTTGAACAAGTGGCTTTCACAGAACCGACAAAGCTTCTACGGAAACCTGACCAACACAAATTAGTAGTGGTTGGCGTTGTACACGGCGATATAACCTACAAGACCAGCAAATTCACCACAGATGTGTATATTGTGAAGAACCTCGAATCTCTGTAGTTGTCTAGACAAGACAACGAGATGTTAAGTGTTGTCAAGAGACCCAACTAAGTTGCCAGCTCAAACTCCAAGACAGTGAATGCTAAAGCTGAGTTCCACTCGCTCTTTACGGGTCTTGAATACGTGAACATTCCATACACGATAGGATTGCTCCAAGACGCTGTTCCATTTTTTTTAGCCTCCCCAAGAAGGATCCCAATAAATCCCATGCAAGAGGTGAAGAAAGAGCTCCAGAGTATGGTTTGGCTGGCGTTATAGAACCCATGGACGAACCTACCGACTGGTGTTCCGCTATGGTAAAGGCGCGGAAACCAAATAGAAGCTTTTGAATCTGCGTATATTTCAGATCGTTGAACAAGTACTTTAAAAGAAGACGTCATACTCTCCCTACCATGGCCCACATTCGCGCTAAGTTGGGGAATGCAAGGTTATGTCACGTTTGCTCCGGGATGCAGGCAGGACTTCCAACTTGCCCAGACCCAGAAGTGCCCCGTTTATTGCCACACCCACATATATAGACACATATCAGGTCACATGACAACAACAGTGCGCAGCACTCCTACGACGAGTCATCTCGAAGCAGACAGTAGAGCGCGATAACTGATAGTCACGCGCGTCTTAGGTTCTACCGCAGGAGCGATAACACTACATCCCCCTTTTCGAAGCTGAAGCACAAATATATTTTTTTTACAAACAAATAAACGCTATGAACAATAAGATGACCATGAATCAGCTATACCACCTCAACAAGCGAGAGCCAAAATAAAGGTACGCTCAAAGCATACAATCAAATACACGGCATAAAGAACAAACAGGCTACTCAGCCTTCAGAACAAACATAAATCAAATACGCGGCATTCCGAAACTCCGTACCGCTCAGGCTTGCGTACTGTCCGACCAAATCGCGTCACATACTCCGGAGGAACCGCTGGCAACGAAACATTAGGCTTGAGTCCTTGAAGCGGACTGTTTTGGCCAATCGAACCGGGACGACTCGGGCATTCTGCACTCACGCCGCCATCAGTTTCCCCTTCCGGAAACTCGTAGCAGTCGTCACTGTTTTCAACACTTTCCCTATCCTGCTTAAGTTGGACCAGGGCTCTTCGATTCCGCTCTATTCTGCCCCCCTTATCCAACTCCACCACATACGACCGCGGCCTACTGGCCAGCTTAAGGATTACGCCCTTCCCTCTGCGGTCTTTCACCCAGACTCCCTCACCGGGCTCCAACTGCGGCAGGTGACGGGCCGCGTGGCGCCTATTGTAGAAGCGACGTTGGGCGTCCCTAAGGAGAGTGTCTTTTCGACGG